GGGACCAGAGGACGTCATGAGGATACATGCCAAAACGATTTGGGCATCTGGGTCTCCCAAGCCTATCCTTCTCACCGCACCTTGAGAAATCGGCCCAAAAGGCACTCGCCGTTTTACGGATGATCCGACGCACCTTCTACCGTATTACTCGCATGGACTTCCAAATACTCTATGGGGCCTACGTCAGACCGCTCCTGGAGTACGCCAACCAAGTTGTCTACTCAGGACGTACGAAAGACGTTACCCTCATTGAGCGTGTCCAGCGGGCCGCCACGAGAATGGTTGCCGGCCTCAAGTCCGTGGACTACGAAACGCGTCTCGCGATGCTTGATCTCTTTCCCCTGGAGTACCGTCGCCTCCGAGGGGACCTAATTCTTACTTACGCCCTGTTTGAACAAAGCTTGGCAAACAGGTTTTTTACCGTTGACCCAGCAAACACCCGGCGGGGACATAGTAAGAAAATCTTCAAGCTCAGGGCACACACATTCATCAGACAAAACTTTTTTCATTTCGGGTAGTAGCTGCGTGGAATGACCTTCCTCCGACGGTTGTCCGCGCTCCTTCTCGAACCCAATTTAAAGCACTATTAGACATTTATTTATGCGAATCCTCGCACTGGCAAGCATACTGCCCCGCGCTGAGAACATAAAGAGCAGTGCTACACCCTTTTTTCACTTGTGCCTTTCAGGTGAACGACAGCCACTGACCGACAAGGACAAAACTGACCCGGGAATCTTGGGCAGAAGCCTCGATCCTGTGCATCAATGCGTGAATCCGTGACCTATGGGTTGCTTAGTTACATGACGACGGCGCGCGACACAGAAACCTTACGGTCCACCGCGTAGTTCAAATATCTGCCCCTAATGTGTTCTGTAGTATACGGTTTCTGTCATTTTGATTGATTCATATGTAAGTATTGGTGATGTACAACCTTGCTTACTGGGCTTTGGCTCATGAGCTTTATTTCTGTTTCCCATCCACAGAGATTGTCGTGATCAGCTGCGTTCAGAGAGTCACTGTCCCCTGGTGCGGCCATAGCGTGCATAGTACATAATTGGCAACCACACCAGGATGGTTGCCACACACTGGTAGAATTACCACAGAGATCCTGGCTCTAAATATGTGCATACAGACCTCAGAGCTAGCACGTTGCTCACTCACACACGGTAGACGCATTCCCAGATACAGCAACCTCAGCGCACGCTCACCAGCCTCACGCACCACACCACAAGCACCGGCCGGTTCACGTAGGCCATGGTACACCGGGGACGGTGTTCTTCAAAAAGGAGGCCAGTGTAGTATACGGTGTCCGTCATTTTGATTGATTCATATGTAAGTATTGGTGATGTACAACCTTGCTTACTGGGCTTTGGCTCATGAGCTTTATTTCTGTTTTCCATCCACAGAAATTGTCGTGAACACCTGCCTTCGGAGAATCACTGACCCCTGGTGCGGCCGTAGCGTGCATATTACAGTTCCAGTGCTACTCATGGTGGGTGTACTTTTCACGAATATCATTATCACCACAACTTTCAGCTTTACACTTTTGTAAATTCGGTGGTGATCAGGAGTAGGAGTTTAAGGGAAAACGCAACGTTATGTTGGTTTATGTGCAATGCAACAGTGTTTTGAAGTTTTGCTCCGGTCACACTCCATATTTAGATAAGGCTCAGGTTTTTTAATGTAATCTCCAGCGACTTACACGAATTCTACGTGAATGCAACACAAATCGGTGACCGTTCAGCACCGTTGAGCAGCGAAGTATAACTACACAATCTTAACTCAGGTGTGTTGAGTCGATGCGGTTCGTATGAGTGAACACAACAATAAATTCTTCGTGAGGTCGTGGTAATATCATTACTGCTATTATCACAGACGACTACGTAGTCGTCTGTTACTGGTATGACTTTCCCGATATAAGAGCTGCTGGTTCAGTGTTTATTCATGTGTGCGGGTAACTTTATACAGACAGCTTCAGAAACTAGAAGTAGCTTCCCTCTTTTTTTCCGCGTATCCCTCAAGCCATCATTATTATTGCTGTATAACTTTATTTTCGTAGGGTTTTGGGCCAACTCAACCCGATATCGTTGAGATGCTGCGACCCTTTTGAGGTGAGAGATGTAATAACCGTTGATCAACTGGCGTGTTATTTCGGGAAATCGGAAGACGTCCTCACAAAATACTGTAGTTTGTGTCGGGCTGTGTACTGCCAAAGGAAGAATAACTTTGAATGGATGCTGTCCACCGTTAGCTGATTGCCATATGGCCCAACTTAGTAGACGGCTTATTTGCAGTTGGTTAGACGGAATCGGATTCTGGTAGGGAGAAAATGATGTTCAACACACAACTGAATGGCTCGCCCTTCATTATCTTCGAGGAACAACTCCAATTCAACTCCACGAATGGGTGTTTTACAGATTTTGCCGGTCAATATTGGCATCCATATCTTTTGATACAGTGTTTAAATAAATTATGGTTGTACAGCAACGAATTATCGGTGCTGAACACTGATTCTGTGGTGTCAGTGATGATGATAATAATTGGGGTAAAAATATTATATATGTGCTGAGAATGTGCGAAAAAATGTTAGGGGCATTATATTAATTAGGTCTACCACTGTCTCTTGGCTGCACTTGATATGCTGGTGTTCAAAACCGATGCTTCACTGCCGTACAACCGTGACTTATTTGAAAGCCTTATTGTAAAGAAAAGAGTAAAGGTGAACGGGGGAGGGACTTAGTGCTAGCTTAAAACAATCATTCCGAGGTGCCTACACCTCCAGACATTCACTCAGGCAATCTGGATAGAAACTGACAAGAAGAACGCCACTGACATCGGTTGTCAGCCATATCTTGTAGTGTCACCAACCAGGCACAGTGAGGATCACGTGGTCCCCACCCTGGAAGGCGAGTAGCACCGACAGCACCCAAGCGTTTCGTGATCTCCTTCGTACTCCTCTGCCAAGTCAAGGGTTGGCCACCTCTCTGTTTACGCCACTCTGAATTGGGCATGGAAAACAACACTCTCTTCGGCAAACGATGGTTTGGCATTCGTAACACATGTCCCAAACAACGCAGCTTCTGGTGCTGAACACATTCTTCAGTGGAAGTACCCGTTACACAACCGAAAACACGCTTTCTAACTGCCTCGTTACGGATTCGCTGACACCAACCCACACGAGCTATGGCTCTGAGACAACGATTGTCGAACACCTGAATATGTCTCAGGTCCGCTGCTCGAATAGGCCAAATCTCACAGCCATACCACAAGACAGCCCGTACTATAGCTTGCTACACACGTCCCTTCAGATTCAGGGATAAACCATTCTGACGCCATAGGTGTCTCAAGTTAGCAAACGCGGC